TGTATTGTACAGATGAGGTCTCGCCAAGTTGCTCAGGCTGGTCTCAAACCCATGGGCTTAGGCAATCCTCTCATATCAGCCTCCCAAAGTGCTGGGATTATAGGCGTCAGTCACCGCGCCCAGACTGGTAGACCTTTACACCAAAAATAATTGCTTTTAAAAAAAAATTCAGAGTCTCACTTGGTTGCCCAGGCCCAAGAGCAGTGACACAATCATGGCTCACTGCAGCCTTGACTTCCTGGACTCAGGGAATCCTTCCGCCTTAGCCTCCCAAGTAGTTGAGACTATAGGTGTGCACCACCACAGCCGGCTGATTATTTTTTATTTACTGTAAAGATGGGGGGGTATTCAATAGGTTGCCCAGCCTGGTCTTGAACTCCTGGGCCCCAAATTCTCTTGCCTCAGACTCCCAAAGTGCTGGGATTACAGGCTTGAGTCACTGTGGTCATCTGCTTTTGTTTTTTAAATAGTTGGGCTGGTTGAGGGAGTGTTCCAAGAAGGAGTTATCTACTCAGAAATATTTTCAGAACATGAACAAGTGTGTCACTAATCAATAACCTTTACACATAAAGACATTTACCAAAGGTGAGGAAGGAACAGAGGGTATTAAGAGAAATCACTCTTCAAATCATCTATGAGAGTCCCTATCATTATGAAGACTTACGCCACCTTGTTTTCCTAAAATGAACACTAGAACAGAAATTCATCTTGAATCCAACCCCCTAGCACAGGTTTCCTTTCTGCTTTCCATTGAACTCCTGACATTAGGCAGGCTGACACTGGGTCCTTAAGTTAGGGAGCCTGGATTCCTGCTTCCTAGCAGGGCTCTCAGGGAGGATAGCATCACAGGCTTGCCCCTACAAGAGTTGGATAAAAAGTAGCGCTCACTTACCCATGAGAAGCAAGTTGAGTGATCTGATGGTGGAGGTATTCTGGCTCAAAATCATCTTCGTTCCTTTTTAAGCCCTCTCTTTATTTTTTTTACATCTGAAAGGAAATCAACATTAGGCGATCAAAATTCTAATTGCAAAGATAAAAATGGGGACAAAGACAAGACAATGAAAGACCAGCATAATTTTTCCACATGTGCTAGTCTAAGTGTGGAAAAACTTCCAGATGGAGAATAGCTAGATAAAGGGTGTGTCAGTTAGGGTTCTGGCAAGAAACAGCACATTCAAGTTAGGATAGGCTTTTTTGGCATACATTTAAGGGGAACAAGTGCCATTGTATTACATGGATATATTGCAAAGTGGTAAACTCTGGCTTTCAGTGTAACCAGCACACGAATGGTATATATTGTATCCATTAAGTAATCTCTCATCCATCAGCCACCTCCTACCCTTACAAGTCTCCAGTGCCTCTCATTCCACACTCTGTGCCCATGAGTACACATTATTTAGCTTCCACTCATAAGTGAGAACAATGTGTATTTGACTTTCTGTTTCTGAGTTGTTTCACCTAAGCTAATGGACTCCAGTTCCATTAGCATCCATGTTGCTGCAAAAGACATTTCAGTCTTTTTTATGGCTAAAAAGTACTCCATTCTCTCTCTCTCTCTCTCTCTCTCTCTCTCTCTCTCTCTCTCTGTGTGTATGTGTGACATTTTCTTTTTCTAATCTGTTGATGAACACTTAGGTTGATTCAATTTCTTTACTATGGTGAATAGTGCTATGTCCTGAGAAATTCTTTGTTAGGTGATTTTGTCATTGTGTGAACACAGCAGACTACTTACACAAAATTAGGCCTAGTACATGCCTAGGCTAGATGGTTATAGCCTATTGCTCCTAGGCTACAAACCTGTACAGCATGTTACTGTCCTGAACACTGTGGGCAATTGGAAACAATGGTATTTATGTATCTAAACATAGAAAAGATACAGCATAACCATTTGAAACCACAGTATCACTTTATGAAACCACCATCATCTATGCAGTCCATCTTCACCATATGACTGTATTTCCACATGTGTGGGCAGGGCTGTAGGCAAACTGAAAGGGGGGGTGTAGCACCTCGAGCTCACCATAGTGAGGGCTGAAAGGGAAATGGGAGGGAGCCAACATGGGAATTTTTAAGGAGAGAATCCTGTGTGGAGGGCAAGGACACATGGCCATGGACACGTCAGCTCAAAGGGACCGTGCAGGGAGGAGGCTGAGGAATAAATATCCCTCCCTGGGTACCTCCCTTCTCTGACTTGGGGCTCCCTGTTGGCTGAACCCAAACAGAAGCCACAGAGCAAGAGGTTCGGGGTTGTAACCATACAAGACAGGATCCCAGGACAAAATAAAGGATGGGGAGGGGGGACAGGCAGAGAGAAGAGCCCAGGCAACCGGGTCATGTATCTGTAATTTGGACAGAAACTGCCACGCTGCCCCTCCCTGGTGGCTGTGCCAATTTACATAACCAACTACAATGTGTGAGAATTTGGGTTTCCCCACCTTCTCTGTAGAGGTATCATCAAGCTCTTGGATTTTCCCAAAATTCATAAAGGAAAAAGCGTCTTCACACTAATATTAATTTGTATTTCTTTTATTCTGAGGGAGACTGAGCATCTTTTCATATATATGAGCGATTTGCATTTCCTTTCTGGTAACTGTTCATATTTTGCTATTTTTCAACCCTGTGTTGCTCTTTTTGAGTCGGGGTCTCACTCTGTCACTCAGGCTGGCATGCCGAGGCACACTCACGGTCACTGCTCCCTCAGGCGATCCTTCTGCCTCAGGCTTCCAAGTAGCTGGAACTACAGGCATGTGCCACCATGCCCAGCTAATTTTTTGATGTGGCACCAAGTTGCCCAGGCTGGTCTCAAAACCCTGGACTGAGGCAATTCACCCACCTCCACCTCCCAAAGTGCTGGAATTATATGCATGAGCCAACGCACCTGGCATGTTGCTATTTTTTGTTTGTTGTTATTGGTTTGCTGGAAGTTTTTTTTCTTTTCTTTTTCTTTTGGAGTTGGAATTTCACTTTGTAACCCAGGCTGGGGGGCAGTGGTATACTTCTGTGCCACCGCAACCTCGACCAGCTGGGCTCAGGCAATCCCTCTGCCTCAGCCTTCCAAGTAACTGGAACTACAGGCATGAGCCACCATGCCTGGCTAATT